GCTGGTGTGGATGGAGGGAGCGCTGGTGTGGATGGAGGGAGCACTGGTGTGGATGGAGCACTGATGTGGATGGAGGGAGCACTGGTGTGGATGGAGTGAGCACTGGTGTGGATGGAGTGAGCACTGGTGTGGATGGAGGGAGCACTGGTGTGGATGGAGTGAGCACTGGTGTGGATGGATGGAGCGCTGGTGTGGATGGATGGAGCGCTGGTGTGGATGGAGCGAGCGCTGGTGTGGATGGAGTGCTAGAGGGGTGCCCATGAGGTCGAAGCTCACAACAGAGCACTGCTTCTCTACACACCCCTTTTGGATTCTGTTTGTGTAAACCTTCCCAGCTAACAGCACAATGATAAAGCTTTGCAGTTTTTTCTGAGGACTTTGACTGGCCGGGTCACCATGAAGCACTTTACCAAATACTATGACTCCAGACATAATTCCAGAGTAAGCCAAGCATCAACCAACCATCCATCAAACCACTAACGAGAGTCACCACTCAGTGACACAGTAAGAGACACCTTCTCTTAGTGTCTTGAAACTGATCATGTTGGGCACACAGAAGCTCAATGCATCACCTGAGAACATCATTCATGATGGTGTGTCCTTCACAATGGCTGACTTCATGGTGAAATATGTGACAGAATTTACTGTTTTAACCATTGTCAAGTTTAGTGACATTAAGTAAAATCACATAAGAGGAAGGATCATCATCTTCAGAAATGTTTCATTATCCCAAACTAAAACTACACATTAAACAATAACTCTCTCCACAGTCCCTGGTAGCCATAGAGATGTTTTTCTGTCTCCATGGGTCTGACTGCTCAGCATCCCATCTTAGTGGAGTTACATAGTGCTTACTTTGGCGTCTGGCTTTTTCACTTAGTGTAATGTCTTCAGAGTTCATCCATATGGTAGTATTAGAATTACATTTCCTTTTAAGGCTAAGTAATGCTCCATTTATATGCATCCACTTATTTCATCTATTCATACATCACTAGATATCTGAGTGCTTTTCCACCTTTTTACTATTATGAATTCACCTCCTATGAGTGTGGGTGTACAGATATTTGCTCATGCGTGTAGCCCCCAGTAGTCAACTGTTGGATAAAATGGTGATTCTGTGGTTTTAAGACCTGTCATACCATTTATCAAGGCGACTATAATATTTTCTATTCTTACCATCAATACACAAGGGTTCCAGTTTCTATACATCCTTGCCAACACATGGTCTTTAAACAGCCATTGTCCTAGTGTGTGAGGGGTCCACACTCCCCTTTTTATGTCCCCAGTGGCCAGTGATGTGGAACACATCACATGCTCTTGGAGAAATGTCTATTGAAATCCTCTGCCAGTTTTCAAACTGGGCTGTTTTTTTATTTGTTATGACTTATTTATCCAGGATTATTTCTTGTTATTAATTTTAAGTTGCTATTTTAATAAGTTTCATTATGGCATTTTCATATGTGTGTACCAGTGTATGTTGCTCACATTTGCCCCCTTACATCCTTTGATGTCTCGCACCCTGCCATGCCCCCCTTCCTCCTGTCTGTAGTGGGATTCGTCCCGAGTTCTGGCAAAGTACTTCCATCTTACAATGCCGTTTAAATGTTCTATGTGCCTTTCCAGAGTTGGTCAGTGTTTGCTGAGACCAGCAAACCTCTGCAAGAGAAAAGACAGAATCCACATGGGCGCTAACCTTCCTAGATCTGATCTGTCTGTGTCTCGTTGCCGAGCTTGCAGTCACCTCTCCTGATTTAACACTAGGTAGCACTCTGAGCCCAGGTTTGTACCATTTCTGCTGCCAATTGAGAACCATACAGAATCAGAGCTCAGTGAGTGAGGCTGGCTCTTCATTGTGCCCGTGAGTTCCCTACACCCCTGTAAGTAACCCCAATGAACTCATTTATCATGCCAAGCGGAAATTGGCAGAATCTTTCTTAGGTCTGTCTGCTCTTATTTGAGGTAAATAAATGTTTCTTTATATTTTTCCAGGAAAGTCCCACCTCCCTCAAAAAGTCTCCCGTCCATTTTCACGCACACATATGTACACATGAAATGCATTCTCTATATTAAATACTAGAGCTGCATGGGTTGAAAGCCCTTTATCCTGTTTTGGGGACTGCCTTTTTGCAGACGGTGTCCTTTAATTTCATCAACTTTTGGTTTTGATGAAGTCCAATTTATCTAAGTTTTTTTTAGTTGACTCTGTAAGTATTATATACAAGAAATCATCGCCGAGTTCAACTTTGGATTCCGATTTTTCTGAGTCTTGTAATTTTGGGTCTTACATGCAGTCTCTCTCACCCACTTTGAGTTCATTTTGTTTATGGTGCCAGTGGGGTGGCTTCAGTTTTTGGTACACACACACCCAGCCTGGCATTGTTAGGTGACTAAGACATAACCCACACTTACAACATTCACCTTTATGTACTATTCACCGGCTTAAAAAAATTACAGTCATACAGCCACAACCATGACCCAGTTTTTAAACAGATCCATCACCCTGGAAATACTTTTCAGGGCTATCTGCTGTGATTACTCATCCCAACCCCAACCCTTAAGAACTCACTCATCTAACCTTAATACAAAGGTAAACGCACACAGGGCATTCTGAAACTTCTACCACACAGCACAGCTGACTTTGGTCATGTGACAGCATGTGACACATGCTGTGCTTGTACAGCTACGACTTTACAGGCACTGCCACAGACTTGGGTGATTTCCACTCCCCGGAGACAGGAAGGAATGTTGTTGTGAACATTCTGGCTCATCATACAAACACAAGTTTTCATTTACTTGGGTAGCTGACTAGGAAGGAATTGCTGGGCCATACCAACTTGTTCCTTAAGAAACTGTCCACGCCATTTTTTTTTTTTTTTTAGTCACTACAGCAATGAACTGTGTTTTCCCATATCCTACAGACTTAAAAAAAAAAAAACAGCAGAGTTAGTGTGTTAATTGGTATTTTATTTTGGCTTTTCAATCTTTTAATGGGTTACAATGTCAAGTACTTTTCACGTGCTTATTAGCTATTTGTGTATTTTCTTTGGTAAAATGCCCACACTTGAGTTCAGTTGTTTTCTATTACTGAGTCGGTCTCAACTTCAGTTGAACACGTTCTTGTATGTAGATATGTATGTATATATACATATACACACATATGTTTTTGGAGACAGGCTTTCACTGTGTAACAGCCCTGGCTGCCATGGAACTCACTCTGTAGACCAGGCTGGCTTCAAACACACAGAGATCCACCTGCCTCTGCCTCCCAAGTGCTGGGATTAAAGATGTGTAGCACCACCACTCAGTTAAGTTCTTGTCTATTTTATACCATCTGTCAGACATTTGATTTGCAAGTATTTTCTCCTATTTTGTGCCTTGTATTTCATTTTTACAGTGGAATCATTTGAAGCATGGGAATATGTCCTTTGCATAAGTCCTGTATATCAAGTATTTTACCAACTGTGCTTTTCATATTCCATCTTTACCTAATCTAATGGCATGAAGACTTTCTCCTAAGAGACTTGTATATTTTAGTTCTTACATTCACCGACATCTTGAGTTGTTTTTGTATATAGAAAGAATAAATTTATCTTCTTGCATGTGGATAATGGATTGTCACAGCATCCTGTTAGACTGATGTTTAGGAATCCATGTCTAGGGCCTGGATCCATCTTCTTGCCAGCACTAGGCTGTCTGAGTTCTGGGAGTTTTACGTCAAGCTGGGGGTCAGATAATGTAAGCTCTTCAGTGTGCTGATTCAGCATTGCTTTCCTATTCTAGACTCTTTGTTTTCCAGAGGCATATTACAGTCACCTTGTCAATTGTCACAAAATCAAAGCACCTACTGGGATTTATTGGGATGGCATGAATCTCTGGGTGATTTGAAGAGAGCTGACATCTTAATATTATGTTTTCTAAACCCTTCAACACAGTAGTCTCTGCACTTCGGTGGGTCTTTCTTTATTTTCTTTTTTTTTCCTTAGCATAATTGCAGATTTCACTGTACAGGTCTGTATTAGTTACCTTTCTATGACTGTGATTAAAACACTGTGGCCAAAGTAACTCACAGAAGGAGGGCTTTATTCAACTTATAGTTAGGATTTGTTGGGCTTATGGCTCTGGAGGTTTAAGTCTATCATGGCAGGGATGCCTGGCAGCAAGCTGCAGATATATTGTCAGGAATACAGCTGAGAGCTCACATCTTGATCCATAAGGTGGGAGAGCACACTGGGAATGGCATGAATCTTTAAAAACCTCAAAGTCCCCTCCCAGTGCCACACCTCCTCCAACAAGGCCACCCCCCCCCAATCCTTCCCAAACAGTTCCACCAACTTTCAACCAAATGTTCAAACACATGAGCCTATGGGTGCCATTCTCGTTCAGACCACTACAGGGTCTCACTACTTTTCATGCTTTTTCCCCCCACTTCCCTGTGTACTTTGAGATGATGTTACAAATGGTGTGTTTTTAAAAGTTTCTGTATCTATCAGTTTCTAATTAATGGAAATATGCTTTACTTTTAATATTAACCCTCTCTCTTGCAACATTACTAAACTACCAGCTGGTCTCAGACTGTACTCTCAATATTTCTAGATGAACTTACATAGAATAGCTGTTTCTTCTTTGGAAATTTGTCATAAGTTCAGCTATTTGGGCTTGGACAGTCATTGAAGAAAAGTTTCAATCAATGGAAAAAATTAATCAATGGATATGGAACTATTCAAATTATCTTTTTTTTAAAAAAAACTTAACTTTCCATATTATTCTTCAGATTTTTTTTTTTTTTTTTTTTGGTTTTTCGAGACAGGGTTTCTCTGTGTAGCTTTGCGCCTTTCCTGGAGCTCACTTGGTAGCCCAGGCTGGCCTCGAACTCACAGAGATCCGCCTGGCTCTGCCTCCCGAGTGCTGGGATTAAAGGCGTGCGCCACCACCGCCCGGCGTAGATTTTTTTTTTTTTTTTTTTCAAACAGGGTCCAGTGCAGCCTAGGCTGGCCTCATTGTAGCTGAGGATATCCTTGAACTTTTGATATTCCTGTCTGTATTTCTTCTTAAGGGCTGGAATTATAGGTGCGCATAGCCATCCCTGGCTTTACGCAGTGTTGAGGACAGAGCCAGGGTATCTTGCATGCTAGGCAGGCACTCTGCCAATGAGCTGCGTCCTCAGGCCCTCAAATGACCTCTTTCTTCGGTAGTTTTTGTTCTCCAAGAATTTGTCTATTTAATCTAAATTATGCCAAATCTTCTCCTGTCACTCTGTTTGCAGTGTTGGTAGGATGTCACCTAATGGTTGTTGTTGGTATCACTAATTCCTGTCATTTTCTTCCTCCTTGATTATCAGTGTTTTTTGAGACAGGGTCTCCTGTTGAGCCTGGATCTTACTGATGCAGTGAGATTATATGGCCAGCAAACCCCAGAGGTCCCCTGTTTCTGTTTTTTCTACAGTAGGGTTATAGGAGCATGCCAACATATAGGGTTGTTGTTTTTAAGATTTATTTTAATGTGTGTGTGTTTGTGCGCATGCACACATAGATGAAAATGCATATTGAGACCAGAGGTCATTGTTGCTTCACACAGTCTGTCCATTCTTCATTGTTTTCAAGTAAGAGGAAGGAAATCCACTGCCTGCTGTTCTGGTTTAGGCGGAAACCTCAAGATAGCTTAAAAACACTGATTCGACTACAGCTTTCCCAAAGATTGTCTCACTCCTAAGGTAACCCCCTACCTCTGCCTTCCCAGCACAGCCCACATCAGGATGCTTTCTAGAACCCTGTTCCTCAGAGCTGCCCTAGCACATTACAGTTGACGGCATCATTTCAAGGGTTGGAATTCATATAATTTCACATATTTATTTTGAGAAAAATATTACTTCCTTCACACTGCTAATAAATTTATCCTCGTGTGCAAAATTAACAGTTAACACAAAATCCATGGAAAAATTCTTAGGACCACCCATTTTTGAATGCCTGTGAACACAAATCCATACACAGAACAGCAAAGATCTCCCCCATAGGCCAAAACATGCCATTCTGAGTGTACTCACTGTGGTGGGTACTGGGATTGGTTCTCTCCACCAGGCTGATCTCACACTGGGCTGAACTGGCCCTCTGAAGGTGGCCCTTCCTGGCATCAAAGAGGTGAGAAACACAAATGGAAAACAGGTCATTGGAAAACACGTCAGAAGAAGCAGAAAGAAAATTAAGCCTGAGGATTTGGAAGCTCATTCTCTTTCCAGAACTACTGGAAACCACAGGACTCCCAAATGTTGTTCCTCATTTAACCAGCCCGCCAGCCGAGGCAGCGGCAGCGACCCCTGGGTGCTGCTGAGCCTACAGCAGGGCACAGATGCTGTGTCTGCCATAGGTGTTTCCACCACAGAGATCATGTCCGACCATTGTGGACTCTTTATGTACCATGGTGGCTTCAGCGAACAATTCTAATTCACGACATTAAAATACCATCAGCTTTGGGTCATCTGATTATAACCTCACCTAGAACTGCTTTAAATATTAAATGAAAATTGAAATGTGAAGGTGCTTTTTTTTTTCAATACGTCAATCTCAATGTATTAACTCACATTAGTGAAAATGAATTCACATCATCTAGCCATAGCAACGTGACACTTTCTAAAAACATCCTGGCCTCCCCTAAAATGCCAATTCTAGCAGATGTTTTAGCATTGGGGGTGGGGTGTATTTGACCTCATTCAAGTATCGTCTTAAGTTACAGAAAATCCAAAAGGCCCTCAGGTCAAAGCACTTTCAACCAGCAGTGGGTTCTGTTAAAGAATTATTTGTTTTCATTTACTAAATAGTTTCCCCTCCTTTTCTTTTCCTCCCTCTCTGCCATCGTGTGTGTGCATGTGTGTGTATGTGTGTGCATGTGTGTTTGTGTGTGCATGTGTATGTACACGTGTGTGTATATGTGTGTATGTATGTGTATATGTGTGTTTGTGTGTGTGTGTGCATGTGTGTTTGTGTGTGCATGTGTGTGCATATGTGTATATGTGTATATGCGTGTTTGTGTGTGTGTGTGTGTGTGTGTGTGTGTGTGTGTGTTGTGCACATTTGCCCACATGGAGACCTGGAGAGGATGTCAGGGGTCCTTCACTATCACTCCCTGCCTCACTCCCTCGAGACAGGGTCTTTCACTGAACACAAAGCTCACCATTTCAGCTAGGCTAGCTGGTTAGTGAACTGGTACCCACCATCTCCATCCCGACCCTAAACACTGGAGTTATGGGCACATGCAGCAATGCCCATATCTTATGTGGGTGTGGAAGATTCGAACTCATGTCCTCACGTTCGCACAGCAAGGACTCTCACTCACTGAGCCACCTTTCCAGACCTCCCCCCCTTTTATTTTTGGTGACAGGGTCTCATTTTGTATGACAGGCATATCTAGAACTTGGCGATCTTCCTGTCTGTCTACATCTCCCAAGAGCTGGGGTCACAGGGATGCACCACCACCCTCCCAAGTGCTGGGGTCACAGGGATGCACCACCACCCTCCCAAGTGCTGGGGTCACAGGGATGCAC